AATCCATAGATTAGCCGCACCGTTATATAAACCGCAGCGTCGAAAAATAGGGAAAAAGGCGCGGCTTATAGTCCGAAAAGTACGGTATATATATATATATATATATATATTGTTTTATGTGCTCAGTTTTTGATCTCCAAGCAAAGAATAATTTACATTTTTTAAATTATAAAACAACATCTCATTGCAGAAGCTGTGTCCGCGTTAATCTGTGGATTATCCAGAGGAAAATAAGACTGTTGTATAGTACTCTGAGTAGCACAAATAAAATCCCATGTACCTACATTTTATAATCTGATACTACCAACTTTGCTATGCTAGATTCCACTATGGTAAAGTGAGAAAATGTGGATGCACTGACCCTTTGCAAAATAATAAGAAATGTAAATCTCGTAACAGGGGCACACTGTCTAATGTCACAATGGCTGACAATTATCTATTGGCCTTGGGTTATTACTGGTTAAAATAAAACAGTAAGTGTACACAATGCCTAAATTTAATATTGCTCCTCTGACAGGAACATAATATTTCAGTTATGTCTTGAACTTTTACAGCCCGATTTAAGATCAGTATTAGGGTCCTCTGACAACCTAGACCCATAAAGGAACACTTTCCTAACCAGCACCCAAGTAACATCCTTGTGGCCTTCTGAAAAAACGATGTTCATGCATAGTAGGGCTTACTATCAACATGGTCCTCCGTAGGCCAAATTCAACCCCCTGACTTGTAGAGTATTGCCTTTTTGTGTATTCTGTGATATGCCAAGGTCTATTCACACTAGTGATTGTAGAAGTGAGTTTTGCATTCAAGCTTTTTAACCACTAACAGAATATTTTTTGTTGACTTACGCAAAGGAAACCATCAAATTGCCTACCTGTTGTTGCCAGCTCTTGTACACCTGTGGAATTGTGTGCACACAGACTCTATAAGAGTTATTATAAACTGTTGTCAAGTCCAGATAATATGCTATTTTATACTCTAGATTAATACAGAGGTCTTTTAGTATATTTATGCTTGTTGTTGGTCCTTAAAGAACCAGCACTGAGACATTTTGTTATGTTTTTTCTTCTAAGTTTGGGGATGCTTAATGTCTTGTTTTTCTTGGTGGGAGGCCATTGCTACATGGCAAGTATCTCTGCTTACTATATCTGTGTTTATCTTTCATATGAAGAAAAAAAACCATCACAGGGTCAAGTGAATGTACCTGAATGTTTTCAGAACCCTACCAAAAGTATATATATATATGCGATATAGACTTATTCCATAGATAGAATATATAGATATATTGAGACAAAATATATATATTTACATAGAGTAACTAGTGAATCAGCTGCTGTGTTCTGTCATATGGGAGGAGGGTAACAAGAGATGAATATATCATTGCCTACTGGCAACAAAAGCCATGAAGAGTTGTCCTTATGTGTCTGACACAAAACGTGGGACTGTGAATGAAGGGAAAAGCACTGATGTGTGTCACACTTAGTGGGTCATCTACAGTTTCTGAATGCTGTGTTCAATGAACTGTCCTTTGTTTTCAAGCCCTCAACACAAACCAGGAAGTGACAGACTTAAGGGTCAGACTCTTATTTCCTCAGTTAGATGAGAATCATACCATGACTGTCAGCACAAGTCGGAAAGTGAAAAGCCCCACGTTAGGTTATGTGATGTGTTTGACTCACTACATATGTTGAGTGTGTCCACAAAAAAAAGACTGAAAGTGTTTGTGCCTGTGACTGTTTGTGTACCTGAAGAATCTGATGTTTGTGAAAATAAAGATGTGCTTTGTTCAAGACATTTCAAGTCTTAGAGGTCCCTGCCAAGTATCCAGTGTCATGCATTTAATGCAATTCAGATTTGTTTACTCAAAAAGCGTTTCGCCCAGCTAGGATTTATTTTTAAAACGTTTGGTGTCATACAGTTTGTTTCACTTGGGTAAAATGTTGAGCACTGTTAAGATTGTTACAAGCCTTTGAAAGATAACTTCTGAGGTGATGTGTCTATTAGCTTGTATATTATCTATTTTAACTGAGCATGGAAAATAAGAAAATAAATGTAACACTTACTTTGCCACTCACAATTATTTATTACTTTTAGTTATTCATCTTTTTTTGTACAATATGTCGGCTGAAAGCAGAAAAATGCCCAACACTATTACTTAACCCATGAAAACATTTTCAATTTGTGTGTTTTATTTAAGATGAATAATTGCCTTTCAATTGTATCTCAACAGATGAATTAACTAATATTTTCAACCTAAGTAAAAAGAAGAAATAGCTACATAAGTTGACCCTCAAACACACTTAATACCCTGCCGATATGAATGTCTCATCTATTGTAGCATAAAGGGCAGATTGAGTGCTGGGCCTAGGCAGACAGGAGCATGGGTCACTGTGTATTCATCTGAAGAGACACAGAGAATGGAATTAATTGATCATTCACTCTGAAAAGGTGTGTGCATGTGTGCAGGATGTAAGGGTCAAGCAAAGTGGGTTAGCTTTTAAGAGCCTACATATGCCTTACCTCTGCTCCTCCCCTCCTAACAGCCCTTCCATCAGTTTTCTTTAGCATCAAAACCCTATCAAACGTGCGTGCCAATGTGTTTCTACCTTTTGGTTTTAATGCACACCTCTCTTTTAGTAGCTAGACCACGCAATCCCCAAATTATTTTTGAGATGCAACATGACATTTTTGAAGACTGCAGGTTCAGAGAAAGGTTTCCATGTTCCAAAAAAAAAAATTAAAACAATGGCTTCCTGCTTCGTGATGGCTTCATATTTAATGAATGAAGATGACATTAGTTCTGATCTCAATTTTCCCTTTGTGTATCTTTTATTCTGCCTGACATGATGGATTTAGAGCAAAAAGAAACCACCTTTTTTCTAATCCACTAACATAAATTAGAGAATGCACTTCCTATTTGTTTCCTATGCTGTCATGACCAAATACTCACCCTGCCCTGGAAGTCATTGCCACACCAGTGTGGAATGCCGGTCCTAGGCTCTAATTGATTTGGAGGCACATGACCTTGTAACGAAGGTCAAAGGCTGTGATTTCTGCCGCTACTCAAACAAGCCACAGCACAAGAGAAACAGCAACTTCCCGACACAAAACAACCTCAGCAACTCAACTTCTTCAAACTACTTTACCCGGACTCAAAAGGTTTCAAATCAGAGGGACTCAACTTCAGGTGGCTTTCAGCTCCGGCTGAACACAGATAAAGCTGCATCAGAACATATCGGGACCCAATCTAGCGTCGCCATCGCACCACATCGCAGGCACAGATAAAAAGGAAAGCGCTATACGGTGATGCATATTTCCCTTTAATCAGAGCTAACGTGTACCACAGCCGTCACGCCGCACTCCCACCTCACTGTGGCTCTCAGGGGGACATGGGAGATCAAAGCCACCCCCCCTTCCCCCGCTTGTACATGATCAGTGGGAAAGAAGGAGAACTGCTCTCTTTCTTTCTCTTGTTTTTTTTCTTTGAGCTACACCCCCTTCAGCACTACCTGGAAGTGTTAGGTGGAAGGTGAGTTTGTGAAAACAGCAATATATACTGCGTACCTGTTTCGCTATTTCATTTGACACTGATTTTGCAGGAAGGAAACATGACCGCTAAACAACATTTCAGGGAGATGGAGAATAACAAAACTGGCGTCACTGGGAGAACGCCAAGGGAGATTTATGGCACAGTAAAAATGTGACCCACACTGACCACAGATGTTCTCGAGAACAACCTAGGTGGGGTGTAATGTGAGTGCAACATGCAATCTTTTGGCTAATGGAGGCTTCACTCCCACCTTCTCACTTCTCACTGTTCATGCTCTGTTGCCAGTCTGTCTTAATACACTAACGTCCGTGAAGCCTTCATAGGCACGTGCAATATGTTGGTGATACGTGTGCACATTCATCAAAGTGATTCTATGGTTTCATCAAAGATTTATAAACCCTCCTGGATGTCAGGACTTAGATGTACAAATCGGTAATCCCACATCTATGAACTCTGCCTCCATCTCTCTGGATCTGGAGATGTGATCCGCCCTTCCCTTCCCTGCTGCCTCTCGGTCTCAGGTTTCAAAGCGTCCCGACTCTCCTCACCCTCCCAGATTAGTCATCTAATGAGCAGCAGGGCTGATCAGGTGAATAATTGATGACAAGCGGCTGGAGAAAGGCATCGATCCGATTCCGAGCTGCGGCTCTAAATGGAGCAGGGATGGAGACACCTCAGGAGGATAAGCAGGCGCAGGTACATTACTGCAACACTCTGTTCTGTATGAGCTGTATGACTTTTTGATGTGCCTCTCCAAACCTGTGTCACACGCTCGAATTGCTATAAATATTAGTTTCATAAAACATTTGTATTACATGAAATGGTGACAAAGTGTCCCTCAGTGATGACCCTAAAGGATGATCTCCTTATTGGACATCACTAACGAGGGATGGATGGTGGTCAATATTCCTCTACTCCTCTGTATTGCTAAGCCACGCCCACTTTTGAGCGTTAATCTGAATTTATTTGAAGTCTCATAATTAGACCTTGCAATATATTAAAGGGGACCTATCATGCAAAATGCACTTTTGTACGTCTTTTATACATGAATATGTGTCCCCGGTGTTCCAGGGAACTCACCAAGTGTCAGAAAACACAACCCTCTCTATTTTCCTCCATACCCAAATGTCTTAAAAAGGGGCTGCAACGGATCTGATACAGACTGATCCAGATTTGAACACTTCTGTGACGTCACAGAAGTGGCGCTACGGCTATTGGGCCAACTCCACCAATCAGGAGGAGACAGCCACGGACATTGCCGTTGGAAAGCGCTGGAGACGCTGTAGTACATATGCCAGGCCTGTAGATGGTGCTGTTCTCACAGAATCAGCCCATGATGCAAAGACAGTGTTAAATTGAGCGAAATGAGGAATGGCTAAAATGCATGATCTGTTTGGTATTTTGAAAAATCAAAAGTATAAATATGCCTTATATAGGTATGGCCCTANAGCATGGTAACATGTCACTCGTGCCACGCCCCCCTCCTTTGCAGGGGGGTGTGGTCAGCTGCAGCTCATTTGCAACAGAATCAGCCCTTGCAAAAACAGGGCTGGAATACAGCAAATAGAGCAAAATGAGGCATGGCTAAAATGCATGGTCTGTTTGGTATTTTGAAAAAAAAAAAAACTGACATGTTTTATATAGGTATGGCCCTACAATATATTATTCAAATATAGCA